AAACGGCAGTATCCCATCAAAAGTGCATTCGCCGTTACATCCAAATGAAGCATGCAGCCACGCCCCTTCCATCTCCGGAATATGATATGTAAGATGAGTTTTTCGAACTTACAGCCTTCTCTTTATATTTTGCAACAAACTGAAACAGGGCTTCGCCTGCGGCTCCGGTCAGCTCTACCGTCCAGCTATCACCGGTTCCTACTCCATAAATAATGACATGCTGATCTGGAACAGCGTCTAGTTGGACACAGAAGTCCCCATTGACAGTTACAATGTCACTTACTGTATTGTAAGCAATTCAGTGAATTTTCGCTCATGAGGTAGCGCATCGACACTGCTAAAGTGGTACGATTTTTTGCACGATAGATACGATTTTCCTCAGATAGGGGTAAGGTTTGTTATGATAAGTACTGTTTTACGCCGCACTTCGCGCTTCCAGTTACCCAAGAGTGCTGAGTATGGGCAAAAGTCGAGCTCAGGCGGGAGTCGTTAGATCATTGCCGATATCTGACGATCGCAGCTGACCGGCTCGGGAGACGGGCAAGAGAATCGTAAATTGCCGCTTCGTCGCGCGCGGCAATGGGCGCGACGTTTCCTTAATTTGCACTACCCTTTCGATTGGAGCATCGGATTTCATGTAGACAAGGACATGGTAGACACTTATGTCTATTTTTGGTCATACATTGTCTATTCTCGACCAATACCACCGAAATCGTCGCTTAGCGGGCGCGACGCGCACGCGACGTCCGCTTGATTACGATTCTATTGTCACATATCCAACCGGCTCTCCATGTTAAACGTGTGAGTGCTGATAGGCTACGGCATAAAAGCCGTTAAGCTGAGAGGGTAAAAGCGGCCCTGGTGGCGTAACGGATAGCGCACTCGCCCGGAAAGCGTGAGGTGCGGGTTCGACTCCCGCCTGGCATTCTTTTGCCTATAATCAGCATTCTTGTGGTAGGAAGGTTTATTCATGGTCAGGAGTATGACGAAGCCCATCCACTTAACTTTCACCACTGTTTGTTCTCTTCAAATCAGTCAAAGCCTTTATTTGGTAGAAATGGCAGCCGGTAGACTCATTCCTTCCCTCCCGACCCCGGCCCGACTGGAGCGATATCAACTATATGCACTAGAAAGAAGTCTCTCCACGTAGGAAGAGAAGGAGAGCTCTGCAGCTCAGCAGTAATCATAGGCATGCACCTGTCTGCTGACGTAAAGTGCACTTTTGGATGGGAAGGTTATTTACAGTCGCTATGACTAAAATCAGTCGGTGCGTATCAGCAGGCTCGTATTTTAGCGCGGCACTAGTCTCATCATTCGTTGTACGACCGAAGCCGCAATATCGTGGGAAACGGGCCACGCATGCCCGTGTGACACGCCCCGACTGAATTCATGGCTGCTGCAAACAGGAAACTTACTGCCGTTGCGGAAATTTTCGCACAATGCAGGCCTCCCTCAGAATTTCCTACTATGAGCGACCCTCCCCTCTACCATCTCGTGGATGTGCAGAGGGGGGAGGAGGGGAAGAGGGAAGCAGGGAGCACAGCACACTTGAAATAGGGAAAACGATTGACGTGACGATCCCGATTTGGAAGAAGAAGGGCAGCCCGGCAGATTAGTCGAGCTACACCGTTCAATTCGCCTTCTCTCGCACACTATGAAAATCTTCGAGCGAATTGTTGACGCCCGCGTTCGTGATATCGTCCAGCTTTCCACCAATCAGTGTGGCTTCGTGGCGGGTTGTAGCACCGTCGACGCCATACATGCCGCTCGCCTACTGCTGGAGAAACACCGTGAGAAGCGAAAGCCCGTGCATGTAGCTTTCTTAGACCTGGAGAAGGCATTCGATCGTATCGTGTGCCACGCGATGTTATATGGTACGCTTTGAGGCGGCGCGGCGTTCCCGAATAGCTAATTGAGTGGGTGCGCATCCTTTACTCATGCCCAGGAAACTAAGTTCGCTCACCAGCGGGTGTCTCAGTGGAGTTCCCCATCACTGTTAGGGTTACATGAAGGCTCTGCGCTCTTCTCACTTTTTTTCGTTGCCGTCATGGATGCCATCTTACAAGATCTTCAGAAGGAAGTGCCTTGGACCCTGCTTTACGCTGATGATGTGATGCTTGCTTGTGAAGATAAGAGCGCACTGGAACAGCAGGTGCAAGCTTGAGCAGAGCGTCTGGTGAAGTTTGGACTCAGCGGCTTGAACGTCAACAAGGGGACTGAGTACCTGACAACCGACCCAAATGAGCCGGGCTCCATTAAGATCGATGACACGGTGCTCAAGCGCACGGAAACATTCAAGTATCTCGGATCAGCACTTGCGTCCGATGGCAGTCTGAACTCGGAAGTGAGCGCACGAGTGAGTGCGGCGTGGTCTAAATGGCGCGATCTATTTCTGCTATCGCCTTTCCGCGACAAGAAAGTGCCAAGAGCGTTTCAAGTCCAAAAGATCTATCATAACGATCTCGTCCGACCTGTTATATGGTGCCAAGTGCTGGCCCGCGACCAAATAAGGTTGAGGCCCGTCTTGCTGTGATGGAGATGAAGATGGTGCGCTGGACGGCGGACGGACCGCATTTGTAACGATGTCGTGCGCAAGAAGTATGGTGTAGCCCCCATAGCAGAGAAATTGCGTGAAACGCGCCTTCGATGGTACGGGCACGTACTTCGCGCGAAGGCTGACACCGTCCGTAAAACTGCTCTCGAACTCGAGGAACCAGGAAAGCGGCCAAAGGGCGGGCGTCTTACGAAAAAAAACAAAAAAGGCCTGCTTCGACACGCTGCATACGGACTTGAAAATAGCCGGCATTCACCCCGATCATGCATTCAATCGGGAAAAGTGGCGTAGTTATATCAGAAGAGCGGACCATCGAGCGGGACAAACAATGAAGAAGAAGAAGAGGAAATATGATTACCCTTGGTGGGGATTCCCGACGTACGACGTGTCCCGACTGTCAATAGGATCCATTCCAACCATTTTTGTGAGGGTTTATGTCAAGCATTCAACGTGCTCATTTCCTTTTGTCTTCGTTCAATGACGGTGCCATGAAAATTAGGGGCCCAAGCGTCACATAGGGTTTCTGCTCCGTGGTTGTAGCGGCGCTGCCTACGTCGTTCACCGCAGCTTCCCCCATTAAATCAGCAAACAAATGATTCATCCTTGAATGACTGAAACCGCCCTCCTAGGTACTTTTCCACTTGATATGGCTGAGATGTCTGCGAATCAAGAGCAAAGACATATTACTCATCTACCATGCCTTCGGCCATTAGTGAAAAGCCGCTTCAATGTTGCTTCTCCATCACATTCAATGAATTTCACTTGACCGAACGGTAGACGATGCTTGAACTGATGCATGCTTGAATTCGCACAATACACTTCCATGTTCTCATTCGTCGCTCTGCAACACTACATTGAAGTTTGAAGACTGAAGCGTCCTTTGTGCACATGCTGGCCGATAGGGTTAGAAATAAAACAGAAGTGTTGGGATCTCGCGTAGAATACAGGGGGGGGGGGGGGCAAAAAAGACACTTCGACCGAGTCACATATCAGCAAAGTTTTCGCAGCCCAGACAGAGGACGTGGATACGAGTACCAGGGCGGAAGATACCCAAGATGTTCCTCGATAAGCAGGCTCTCGCCCATCACCTTCATGTACACCAAAATATGAAGTCATCTCCAATCGCAGCCTGACTGAGGGAGGCCTAATTCATCTTCTATGGAGTCACCCATGGACAGCTACCTGGGGACCGCACTCTTGATCTGGAAGACCTCCAACATCGAGCAGCTCCGACAACGTCGCTACGGTCCAGGATATCATCTTCACCGCAGTCGCCAAGGCGCGGGTTGATGGTATGGACCGGAAGTTCCTGGAATGGGAAGACCGATATTTTCTTCGTGGACCCGGACTGAAAGTGAACGCTGACGGTTACATCGACCAACTCGAGGAGAATATCCTGCCTTCATGTCGTCGCCGTACCTTCTTGGAAACTTTGTACTGCTACAGGATTGGGTGCCACCACATGGAATCGAAGGGCGTTGGAAAAACTCTCGCCTACTTGGAATGGAAGGGCGTTGAGTACCTGAAGAAGACGGAATATCCAAGTGTGTCACCTGACCTAAACCCCCTCAATTACCCGGTTCGGCGGAGCTCAACAGGGTGGTCTACAGTGGCGGAGAAATCAACGATCTCGCTGAACTCAGGCACCGAATCACGGTCGCGTGGCAGAATCTCTCGATGGCGCTCGTCCAGAAGGCTGTGGCGGAGTATTATGATAGTGTACAATGTGCTGTTGAACATGATGGTGCAAATGTCCAATTAGAATTCAATAAAGTGTAACTTATATCGCTCGAAAGTCGAGGAAGAAATTGTCTTTTTTTGCCCCACCCCTGTATGTGAATTACGCGAGAACTCAGTTCACCGGACCTGATCTTCAAATCGAAAGGCATTCCAGGCTTGAATACATTCGGTTGACGTTCTTCCGCTCCCCAAGCTCCACCCTATGTCAGAATATCATTTAGATTAAAGAAGTTGAAGAGATTCAACGTACATTCAGTTTAGCATACACTATTTCATCAGAAGTAGAGGTCAGCTGGCGTTGATGGCGGATAGTTAACACGGCTCGCTTCGTGCCAGCGCACGTGCGATGTTCGCACAGGAATTCAGTGACTGGCAATGATGCTTGATGCTGCGTGTCAACTAGCCAGGAAGTACTAGTTTGTGCGCAATGCCAAGACGATGCCTCCCTTGAGGAGGGGGGGGGGGAGGGGTGCAGCGTAAGCCCGTCGAACCACACCCAAAGGTGTGATCTACATCACCGCGCGCGGGAGACGCGATGATTGATCCTCGCCACGTCACTGGTGCACATGCCGTGCGCGGCGAAAAGGCGTCGCATCGTTGCGCTCGCGATGCGTTCCGCAAGTTAACGTCGGTGCTGTGATAGAGTGAGGCTAATGCCGTTTGGACTCCAGAATTTCGGCACCGAGCTCATTTTTAAATTGCCTAAGTCACCAAATCCGCTAAAAACTTGTATATAGGGGTAGTTTAACATCCTGATTACGAATATGACATTCACTCTTGTCGCTGGCGCTAATGGATGACACTACGATTATCTGCGCTCTGCTAAGGCTGAGCCCAGGAGGTAATCGTAGTGTCATCCATTAGCGCCAGCGACAAGAGTGAATGTCATATTCGTAATCAGGATGTTAAACTACCCCTATATATACAAGTTTTTAGCGGATTTGGTGACTTAGGCAATTTAAAAATGAGCTCGGTGCCGAAATTTCTGGAGTCCAAACGGCATTAGCCGTGAAACCTTAGGGAAGCGAGCTCCAGAGTGCCTAAACTACTATTTATTCAAGCAATATTGGGATATGTGAAAGGACTCACCCACTCCACAAATCCGCTCAGCTTCGCAGGCTACCGTATAATTAGGTGCGGCGCAACATTGCAATCTGGCCCTCTGAGGTTCTCTCGAGGCAAATGGTGACTCGACAGCTCCCATACTTGCAAACCATTCGGTATGGCCGTCTAGTCTCATGAGGAGCTCTGCAGCTTCTTGACTTGCTTCTTATCAATTCAATCAAAAGTTTCGGTGCAAAAGCAATTGAAGGGATCGCGACGCCAGTATGTCAGGTCATACCTGTCTGTCTGCGCCCCCACACCGAGTAAGTAAATGGCGTACATACCCATTCCAAGGCTCTGGGATAACAAAAGACATGCTTACAATTCTGGAATTCATGACGATAGAGTGATCAGAATCGAAACGCATGCTGATATGGAAAATGGTCTGACCGGCTGTTCCACCGGTGAAGTCCTCAAGAAAATGGATTTCCACTCTGAAATTTGGTGAATCTATCACGATTCTGCCTTCAAAACCTTTCGATATTCCTCCCACCTGATTGCTGGATTTGCTATTTTACCATGTATGTGAATTACAGATCCGGGTTGGATCGGTGAATTCAACTTGTATGAGAACGGCAGAGGTGTTTTCTTATCATCTGGATGGATAACGTCCTGGAACCAACGATTAACAAGCTGATCCTAGCCTATCGTCATTGGATTTGGGCCGTTTTCAAAATCTGGGCGGAAATCCATGTTCGCAGTCTTCTCTTTTCCCAGGTCGCATTGTATGAGCCCGGTCACGAGCAGTATTCAGACGTCGCGATAACGCGCGTAAACGCGCCGAATTCAGTTTGAATGCTACAGGCGGCAACTAACCAGACCGGATATCGATCGGCGCCGGCTGCTACTGCTTAAAAAACTGTGGAAGAATAGTATGGTACGTGTTGCCTGATCACGCAGTCTGGACCCTCCTATCCTTCTATCTCTCTCTCTCGGCATGCGAGCGGCCGGCCGCCGATCGATACCCGTCTGTAGTGGTGTGCCCGTCCATAGCACTGGAATGCGGTTGCTTCGACACGCCTTACAACGCGCAGCAACGCGTCATTGTGAAGTCTGAACGCTGCCTCATCGGCAACGAACCAATCCATTCGTGTGCAGTTCTTTTGCTAGCTTCTCTGAGTCTCCAGTCAACCAGTCGAATAGTCAATTTGTGCCTCATCCTCTAGAGGGTTCTTCCATCCCACTGTTCAGTGCAGCTTATTAACGTGATAAGATTTCTCAGCGATTGAGGGTGCTTAGTTATCGCAACCACCTAAACCTCAGAGTTGCTATTAATTTTGGTCATTTTTATATGCATGGTTAGAAAAGCGGCCGTCATGACGAAGGCGACTCAGGTTGGGCTGCTTCATTTCGGGGCACTGGCGATTTCAGCTAATAAAACTCTGGTCGACGATTTCAACGTTTTCGGTGTCTAGAAGATTCGGAAGACTAGAAGATCAGGTACGTATTGAACTGATGTCAGCCTTATCGATTTTAGCTCTCTCCGAACTTCTCGACTTTCATTCCAAAAAGCGTGAACAGATATTAGTGGTCATGCTGCTCCAGAGCACTTTCTGCAAGTCGTATGGGCGGAGCAGCATATATCCTAGTGCTTTCTCATTGGCTCATCCCTCTCTTCAAGGCTTGAAAAGGTGGGGTGCACCAATAAAAGAGGCGTACCCTTACCGCTAAAACACTTGGTGTGGAGTGTGCCCTTGGTAGGGAGTTATGTCCAGGGTACATCGTACGCTGCGGATCATTGTGCCTTGGACACAATGCCTAATCGAGAGGGAACGTAGATGGCCCCTAAACGGAGGGGGGGGGGATTCTGCAAGATTCTGCAAAATTTTTCTCCAACGGCAGGACCTTCCCTTATTATGCGCCATTCCTTTTTTCGAGTGCATCGTTGCAGCTATGTACTAGAAACGCCATTCAAGAGATCTGTGTCAATTCTGTGATGAAACACCTAAGCATCTTTCTTATGGGAGACGGACAAGACAATCGTCACCTGTCGTTGCGCGGCGTATCCTGCGGCGATGCGCGGCTAATTCCTGATGCGTTTCACTTGGTCAATTGGACAACCTTTACGAATTCAAGCGGAGACAAGACTTCATGAGCCCATATCAATTCTGTTGTCCTTTTAACACATAATTTACAACGTTCAGGAGTGCAACTTGTCCGGCGTGCGCGACGTTGTTCGCCACGCCCGCCAACACGGCATATCACGATTGTCTTGTCACATACCACTCTGTCATGGTCAGTATTACGCGTTTGTAGGTATAGTCACGTATGCTGCTGAAGATGAGATGGCTTCTACTATTTCAGACCGCTTTGCCTGCCATGAAGTAGAAAGATGATCGTTGGTCGACCACGCGTCGAAGAATCAGTGCATATCTTGGAGTTTGCGGGGTGGGCTGAGAGAAGTTATACTCTAGTTCGCTGCGGACGGTTGGGCGTGTCAGGCAGTATGAGTGTGTCACGCCGTCAAAGCCGTTCTCTGCCTTCTTGTTGAAGCGCGCATGCGACAAAAAGTGGTAG